TGTCTGTCCCAGGCCTCCGGGTGCTCTCTGTCCATGCAGACCCCTGCTGTCCCTGCTTCCCTTCCCTCCCTCCCCTCCCACTGTCCCTGCCTGGCATCCCTGCCTGGCATCCCTTCCTGGTTCCCTTGCCAGGACCGCGGACCTGCAAGGAGCTGCTCACCCGGGGGCACTTTCTGAGCGGCTGGCACACCATCTACCTGGCCGACTGCCGGCCCCTGACTGTGCTCTGTGACATGGACACAGACGGTGGGGGCTGGACTGTGAGTGTCGGGCTGGGGTCCTCGGGCTGAGGCGGGCGGCCTGGGAATCCCGGAGAGCAGGTGCCCACCTGGCAGGAGAACACACGCTGAGCCTCCTCTACTCGGCTCTGTGTCTCAGGTGCCCCCTCCTTTCACTGAGGACGGGGAGGCTCAGAAATGATGGGGGAGGCGANTGCCCAGCCCCTTAGACCTGGGCCATCTGGAACACGAGACCCGCTTCTCTGGACCCACGGGCGGTGGGGCTCTGAGCAGACACTGCGCAGGGCTGCGACGTCCTCAGATGCGCACTCACTGCTGTGTCTCCCAACATGTCAGTGTCAGGGAATGTTAGAGCACTAGGGTGGAGCCTTGTCCCAGTGTCAAGGCCATTCACATCACAGAAGCCAAGAGTAGGAAGCGGGAGGGGGACAGCAGGGCTGGGTGGTCTGTGTGTGGCTGGCACGTCATTCCCACTGAACCCTCCCTACCTCCTCTGGCTCTAACCTGCGCCACATCCATGCCCACACCCCAACAGTGAGAGGGCATCACCCCACTCTGTCCACGCTATTGTCATCAGGACTGGTCCTGAGGAAAACTGCTAAACTGCTGACCTGTGCTGTCTCCATCCACGACCTCGGGGCCGCCTTGCAGGCATCTGCTCAGGGGCCTCGATTCCTGCCAAGGAAGCTACGGCTCTAGCTCCCCCCGCCGCCGTGTTAGCGGCCAACTTCTCCATGTGCAGGAGAATTGACACCTTCAAAATAAAGTAATGCTTCACTCCATCAAATAAACACCACGTGCGGGCTTTCAGGCCTGGCTTTTGGAATCACAGGAAGATGTTTAGAAACAGGGACACGTCCCAGAAGTCCTCACCTCAGCAGGGCATTCTCACACATTCCCTTGAGAATGTGCCCAACCCCACCTCTCATGCCTGGTGGCAGAAGGATGTTTAAGGATTTTAAAACCTTTCTCCGGCAGGAACCAGTGAGCTCCGGGTAGACCTCATGGACTTTGAGGGAAACCGCCAGTTTGCCAAGTACACGTCATTCAGGATGGCGGCCGAGGCGGAGAAGTACAAGCTGGTCCTGGGGGCCTTTGTCGGGGGCAGTGCAGGTGCGTGTCTGGACTGGGCCTCATGGCCTGGGCTTCCTCCAGGATCTTGGCTCTGTCTTCCCTGGGCGATCTTGGGCTAGGACCGTGCCTCTCTGAGCCTGGTTTCTCCATCTATAAATGCAGACACTAATGTAGACCCGCGTCTCCATGTAGCGTGGGGTCACAGCACAGCATCAGTTAACGCTCCTAAGGCTGTGTCTGCCTCACAGTGAGCTGTCTATGAGGGGGGCCTACGACAAATGACCATGGTCACTGCTGAGCCCTGAAAGAGCGCGGTCATTTCTCACGGGGCTTTAGAGCCCTGTTTCCCAAACTGTGTTCTACGGAACTCGAGCCCCGTGGGGCATTCTTAACCAAAATGACTCCGGCCCCGTGACTTGGGGAGGCGTGTCCTACAGAGCATCTGCTTGGGGAACCCGCACCGCACAGCTGTTCCCTGAAGGCTCTGAGCACGGCTGTGGCACGAAGCTTATTTAACTGTGCTGTGCCCAGAGCCGCACGGAGCGAGGGTCTCCCTGGGGGAGCTCTGACAACGAGAGCCTCGGAGTTTATAAACTTGTTTTACACATGCAAGGAAGCAGGACAGGAACATCACCTGCTCTCTGCAGGTGGTAAAGCTGAGGCTCAGTCGTGACCGTGCTCACCTGCAGGAGCCTGCAGTGAGCGACATGCCCAGGGCTCGAGATCAGGACGGGCCCCTGCATGAAGGCCAGGCCGTACCTCCTAAGGGACCACCAGGGCAACCAGGGGGCAGGGAGAAGCCCAGAGGGGAGGGGATGGCTGGAGGGGGATGGTGGGCTGTGGGCAGAAGACCTGGACCCGAGGCAGGAGCTGTGCCTCTGTTTCCTCTTCCCCCAAGGCCTGGGCAGGTCATTTACCCCCTGGACCTCCGCTGGTCCATCTCTAAAGTGACGAGGACACCCATCAGAGGTGGAGCAGGACCAGGTGAGGCACCAGATAGCAGGGCTTGGTCCCGCATCCACAAAACCCTCCTTTTCTCTGAGCAGGGGATTCTCTGACACCCCACAACAACCAGTCCTTCACCACCAAAGACCAGGACAATGACCAGCAGTCTTCAAACTGTGCTGTGCAGTTCAAGGGGGCCTGGTGGTACACTGATTGTCACTCGTCAAACCTGAACGGTCTCTACCTGGGGGGTTCCCATGAGAGCTACGCCAATGGTGTCAACTGGAGGACCGGGAATGGCTACAAATACAGCTACAAGGTGTCTGAGATGAAGGTCCGGCCCGCCTAGCTTTAGCGGGACCAGGTGGCCCGAAGAGGACCCCTGTGTGTTGGCAGGGAGGGCTCCATAAGCACAGAGCACGGCGACATCACAGCTCTTCATCCTGTCCCCAGCCAAGGAACGTGCTCACCCTGCGCTCCCTGCCGTCCCTTGCCTTGCAGAGTTATAGAACCCGCAACATGGAAGCCCGTCCTCTCCCCGCACCCCCACAATGTCCCCAGGAGGGACACGATGGCTCTAAAACATGCTTGCTTTCTGACAGACGAGCTCGTCCAGTTTTAGTTTGTGTTTCTTGAACACCGTGGTTTTGAGTGTTTCCCCACAGCCGTCGTGCAGCAGGGGTTTCTCAGGAATTTGGTAGGTTGAGAAGAACTAGGGTGCCCATGTCCCAGACAACGTCAGAGGTGTCCAAAGGGCTTATGTGACTTTCCCATGGACTCAGCCTTCAGCCGCCTCCACTAATTGACATGGGGCGGCCCCTGCGTCACCCCAAGCCTCCCTCCCCTTATGACTCACGCACAGCTCTTCATGCGTCTTTAACGATGTCACTTGGGGCCTAGAAAAGTTTCAGGAAAAGGGGAAGAAGTTAAGTAGGAATGTCTGCTTCCCATCCCACGTCTGTGCTCTGGGCCAGCTGCCCCCCACGAAGAGCTAAAACACCAAACCCCGGCCCCGAGGAAGGGGAGAGTGGGTCAAGGCTGTCCACACGGGAGCCAGGGTGGGGCCCGTCTCGCATGACACGAACCCCTGCTCCGGGAGACTTAATGAAGGGAAGGGGGGAGGAGTGTGACCGCGCCAAGGTCGAGAACTTCTGTCAACCAAAGGACACTCTGAGAGAGTAAAAGAAAGTCACAGACGGACACAATCACTTGGCAACATGTATGTATTTTGTTTCTGCTGCTGCCACAACGACAGATGTTTATGTCACAGCTCTGTAGGTCAGAAGTCCAGCAGAGGTCTCCCTGGGCTGGAAGCGGGGTGTCGGGGGGCTGCAGCCTCTGGAGGCCCCAGGAGGAATCTGTGCTGTGCCTTTTCCAGCTTCTAGAGACCACCTGGCATGTCTTGGCTGCGGCCTCTTCCTCCAACTTCAAAGCCAGCAGCATTCATCTCTCTGTCCTTCCTATGTCACGTCTCCGTCTGACCAGTCAGCAAAGGCTCCCCACTTTCCGGGACTCATGTGATTAGACTGGGCCCACCTGGATAAACCCTTCTCAGGTCTGCACCTTAGTCACGTCAGCAGCGTCTCTTTTGTCTGTTTTACCATGGAAGGTATTCACAGGTTCTGGGCATTAGGGCAGGGGGTCTTTGGCAGGGGAGAGGGGACATTATCCTGCCTACCATAGCCGATTAAAAAAAAAAGAAAAGGCAAAGGCTCATATCTGAAAGAACTCCTGCAAACAGTAAAAAAATTATAGCAGCTCAGTAAAAAAAAGTGGGTATGAGATTTTAATGGACACTCCACAAGAGTGGTATCCACAGGGCCAGCATATTTATAAAAAGGTTCTCTACTTATTACTTATCAGAGAAATACAAATCATAACCAGAATGAGGCTCTGCTGTGCACTCCTCAGAACTGATAGGACTGGAAAAGCTGACAGCACCGAGTGTGGGGTGGCTGGTCGGGGGGGACCTTCATCCACCGCTGGCAGCCATGCGAGGGGATTCACCAGACTGGAAAACAGTTTGGCATTAACTATTAGAGCAGAAGACACATGTTCCTTTGATCTGGTAATTCCACTTCATGGCCTGGAAGTGCCTGTCATGTGACCAGGGGCATGACCAGGAATATTTACAGCCAAATACAGTAGTCCCCCCTTATCCACCGGGGATATGTCTCAAGACTCACAGTGGAAGCCTGAAACCTCAGACAGTACCAAACCCTGTGTGTGCCGTGTTTCTCTATCTGACACTGAGATGACTACTCAGTTACTAACAGGTGGGTGGCACTGGGTAAATGGTGCTTCACACCTTGGGCGGGACAGAGCAGGACGGCTGGAGATGTCATCCCATGATGCAACATGGCGCACAATTTAAAACTTGAATTTTCCATTTAATATTTTTAGACCATGGTTGACTGCAAGAAACTGAAACCACAGATAAAGGGGGACTGTTACATTCTCAGTAGGTCCAAACTGGAGTCGACTGCCCATCGGGAGGAAAAAGGAAAAACAAAACCAAACGCGAGGATAGCCATTCAGTAGATCTCCACAGGGCGATGGAAATTAAACAGCCCCAACCACACAACGGGAGTGACAGTCTCACAAATACAGTGGCGAAACAAGCCAGATTCAAGGGAGTACCGTACTATTGATTCCACTTTACGTGAAGTGTTTTTTTTTTCAAAAGCAAAGGTAACCTATAGTAAAAAGGTACTTCAAAAAGTTTGTGGAGGGGCCGGCCCGGTGGCGCACTGCTACAGTGCGCCGCTTGGGAAGCATGGCGGCGCTCCCGCCGAGGGTTCGGATCCCACATACAGACCGGTTCCCGCGCACTGGCTGAGCGGGGAGTGGGGGCAACACTGAGGGTTGCGATCCCGTTGCCGGTCCCGGTCCGGTACGGGTGCGACACTGAGGGTTGTGATCCGTTGCCAGTCACAAAAAAAGACAAAAAGACAAAAAAAAAAAAAGTTTGTGGAAATATTTGTATTATCTTTTAATTATATTTTTTCACGAACTTTTTGAAGTACCCTTGTATTCTGGATGCACAGGTACATGGTAAAGGAATAAAGAAAAGTAAGGGACCAGCCCGGTGGCACACTGGAGAGTGCGCCGCTTGGGAGTGTGGCGGCACTCCCGCTGAGGGTTCAGATCCCACGTGGATCCCGGTTCCCGCTCACTGGTTGAGCGCAGTGCGGGCGCAACACCAAGGGTCGCAATCCCGTTACCGGTCAGTAAAAAAAAAAAGACAAAAAAAAAAAAAAGAAAAGTAAGAAAGTGACTGCGTTTGGCTGTGGGACAGAGTCGTGGCTGGGAAAGAACAGGGACGGGCCTTTGGGGACTGGCAGTGATTTGGGTCTTTACCAGGTGGTGATTACACGCGTGTTTGCTATAGGGTGGTAAAGGACTTAAGCTACACTTTTTGTGTTATGCGCTTTTGTGTAGGTGTTATGATCCACAATTTAAAAACTGTTATTAAACAAAATGCACATGCTTGGATCCAAGGACAGGAGCAACACACACATTTTTTTCTTGATGTCCAGTGTCCTAGACTTTGTAACTGCAAGGAGAGGTTCCTGCATCCCACCAGGGGCTGACCAGATCCCACCAGGTCCCAACCATGATCTCTGGTCAAATACAAAATTCATTAACCGGGGTGGAACTTTTCTTCCATAGTGGATAAACACCTTAAAAACCTGGGAAGACTTAGAGTTAAGTCTAGAAATGATTAATATAATCAAAGCCGTAGAATTATGACTTTTGCATTAAGGAATCTGGACAAGTTAGATATTTCATAGTCTTACAGTATTTAAAGAATTTGGCCTATTATAAAGAAAGTCTCATATAAGTCCAATCTAAAATGAGTAATTAACTAATTGACTTAGTCTTGTGGTGGCGGGCCGGCCCGGTGGCGCACTGCTGTGGTGCGCCGCTAGGGAAGTGTGGTGGCGCTCCCGCCGAGGGTTCAGATCCCACATACAGACCGGTTCCCGCTCACTGGCTGAGTGAGGCGCGGGAGCAACACCGAGGGTTGCAATCCGTTGCCAGACACAGAAAAAGACAAAAAGGAAAAAAAAAAAAAAAGAAAATTAATTTTTAAAAAATTTTCTGTTTAGGGGGCTGGCCCGGTGGCGCACTGCTACAGTGCGCCGCTTGGGAGCGCGGCGGCGCTCCCGCCGAGGGTTCGGATCCCACATACAGACCGGTTCCCGCTCACTGGCTGAGTGAGGTGCGGGCGCAGCACCGAGGGTTGCGATCCCGTTGCCGGTCCCGGTCCGGTACAGGCGCGACACTGAGGGTTGCGATCCGTTGCCGGACACGAAAAAAGACAAAAAGGAAAAAAAAAAATTTTTCTGTTTACACCATTTAGACATAGTGTACTCATGTATGTGATTGAATTGAAACTTATTATCTTGCTAGTTGTATTTTTTTTTTTTTTCTTTTAAAAGATGACCGGTAAGGGGATTTCAACCCTTGGCTTGGTGTTGTCAACACCACATTCAGCCAGTGAGCAAACCGGCCATCCCTATATAGGGATCCGAACCCGTGGCCTTGGTGTTATCAGCACCGCACTCTCCCGAGTGAGCCACGGGCTGGCCCACTAGTTGCATTCTATTGGAATATTTTTTCAGTATTGTTTTAGTTTATCTTTTGGCTTTTGACCATATCTCTTTACATAATTCATTTAGAGATTGCTCTGGGGGTTTACAATATAGATATCTAACTTTTTTCAGTATACTAAGGGTTGATGCTTTACTACCTTAAGGAAAATGTGGCAACCTTACAAATATACAGGTCATATCACGTGGCCTTCTTATATTGTGGTTGTTAAATGTATTATGTCTACATACATAGAAAACCCATCACTGTTATACATTTTTCTTTCAGCAGTCATGCATATTTGTAAAGACTTAAGAGGCAAAAAATAGTCTGTCATATTTACCCAGCTATTTACCATTTCTGTTGCTCTCCCTTTTCCTGAAAGCGTCAGGTTTCCCTCTGTCTTTATTTTCCTTCCAACCTAAGAACTCTCTTTAGCATTTCGTTTAAAGCAGATTACTGATGATAAGTTCACATAGTATTCTTTTATCTGAGAATGTCTTTATCCCAACTTCATATCTGAAGAAGATCTTCACTTAATATAACATTCTGGGTTTGCAGTTCTTTTCTTTCAGCACTTTAAAAATGTTATTCCACTGTCCAGTGGCCTGAGTGGTTTTTGTAAGAAATATGCAGTCATTTCTATTGTTACCCTGTATGGACATCACATATTTTGCAGCTCTGTTGTTTGGTGCACACACTTTCAAGATTGCTGTGTCTTCTTAGTGGATTGACTTTTTATTATCCTAGAATGTTTCTCTCTGTCTCTGGTAATTTTCTTTACTCTGAAGTCTACTTTATCTGACAGTATTAGAGCCACTCCTGCTTTCTATTGGTTATTGTTTTCATAATATATTTTTCTCACTCATTTACTTTCAATTTGCCTATATCACTATATTTGAAGTAAGTTTCTTTTAGACTGTGTATAGTTTGGTCATGCTTTT